TGCTTTGTGTAATTATCCCCAGTGGATTGAAATGAAAAAAACCATGCATGTATTTGCATGCATTAATAAACTAATAAACCTCCCAAGAAGAAATTTTCCTTTCATCCAGGTGGAAACCAATCACTTTAAATCAGAGCCTGGTGAATTAAAAGGAGTGTTTTCCTTTCCTGGAAAAGCTGTGGATCAGCACCTTAGATGCTAAAAGTAATTAGAAAGTACAAAGAGCCATTTCAAAAACAAGTTCCAGATCCTGTGAAGTGCAACACAGCATTCCCAGGCATTTGAGAAAATGACAATAGCTTATGCTTAAGGAAAATAACTGGTGATGTTACAAGTCTGGACAGTAACCCCAGTGTTCACCATTTAATGACTGAGGTAGATGTTTTGGTCCCCCAAAACATGTGACTACCAAAAGTTCTCATCATGTCAGGGAATTAGGGTTCCCTGAGACCGGGACTATCAAGTGTCCAGAAATTCAGACTAGTTTTCCGGAAGGAAAAATAGGTATTGTCCATTTTGCTTTATCACACAGGGATATTGCACTTTGAGGCTTTGGAAGCATGAACTGTGACCACAAGTGAGGAAGGCGGCAGGGCCAGGCCAGAGTCCCATTGAAAGACTACTTCCCTCTTCTTTTCCCATTCCCTTTTCCTCCCATGCTGTGTCGTTTTTCTTTTTCATTTTTTGGCAAATCTTCAAAGCAGTCAGAGATTGCCAGTCAGAGATAGTAAACAAAATGTCATTGTTACTGTCAGGTCGTTCCTTTTTGCTAGTCACCACTGTAACTTAGGCATGTGTTGAAACTCCACAGAATCCCTCCCTCGAGTGCTTGTCGACTTCCTTTCCTTTCTTGGAAAGCACACTGGGCGAAGAGAAAGCCCTCAAGTGATAGCAGAATGTTAAATTGTGCAGCTGGCAACCTCCCTCCAAGTCACAGGCAGCAATACAAAGGTGTACATGTGGCCCGGAAGAGGAACGCTGCTTACGCAGCCGTCAAGTGGGGCCCCGTTCCTGGTGAGCATCAAGCAAACATTGGACACACTTGTCACGAACTCAGAATCACGACTGTGTCAAAGGGGACCTGTGTCCAGGAAGGTGAGCCCAGGAAGCCAGTGGATCCTCTACTGATCCCTGTGGTAGCTTTGCCCACACACAGCGGCAGGTGTATGAGAAGATTGCAGTGGTGGAGAGGAGCAAGTACAGGGGCCACTATTGGGCATTGAGCTAATGGCAGCTGCTCAGCCGTGCCTCCCCTGGATGCTTGCCCTGCCAAGTGCTTTGGGGCACCATGGCCAACTGAACCGCCCTGGCGAAGGTCTGCCAAGCATGTTTCCTACGGCTGCTCCATCCAGATGGGGAGCAGCCACCCTGAAAGGTATGCTCTTAATACCTTCCCCATCTGTGAGCTACAGCGTTGGCAATAGAGAGCACTATTGTCTCCGCAAATCCCACTCCGTGTTATTTATTCCCTAGCCTCAAATAGGAACGGGATCTCCTATTAAATGGGCTCCGATCATATACAAAGCAGCCGCAGATAAATCCTCATGTCACGGGCAATATGCCACAGGAAGCATCCGGAATGCTGAAGAATCAGGAACGCTGGAAAGCATTCCAGCTTTTCATGCCTCTCCCACTCTCTGCCCACCTACAGCCTTCTTCTTACACTGCTTCAGATCTCCTTCGAGAAATTTCAGCCAGTCAGCTCGCTCTGAGGCGAAATTGAGCTAAGCACCGCAGACTCATTTATTTTCTGCTGCTGAACACAAAGTCACCCCTTCCTTTCTGCACAGGGACCCAAGCGGTATGGCAGAGTGATGAGCTTAGACTTCAGACTTCATGATCCCCCTGCTTGTTAATGCAATTACAGCTTTGTTTGGGTCTCCCGTGGGCTGTCAGTCGGTGGCAGCGTGCAGCTACATTTAAAGATATTTTATTGTCTTGCTTAGGGTGACGAGCCAGGCAGCAAAGGAGGGGGAACACTGCACTGGCGATTTGCTTGCAAATGGCTGCTTGCTTGGATTCCTGCATTTCTAATCTAGTCCCCCCTCCTTATAAACGGCTTAAATATTGTAAACCATCCTGAGATCTTGTATAATAGGATGACATACAAAAGCTTTTAATAAAGAAATAATAACAATAAAAGTTGGGTGGCCATGCCTCCTCTTTGACAAAAGAGAGTTGTCTCTTTGAAGGATGCCCAGAGGACTGTTCTCTTTTGAAGCTGTCCCATTGAAGGCCTGTCCATCCCGAGTCTGCAAGAAAGAAAAAGGAATCACCGGAGGGAAGAACTGGGCTGTGAAACTGATCACCAGCAGGACTGAACTCCCAGGCCGCCTAATCCAGTCTTCCACACGACGGTGAGGCTTGCTGCATTTTTCTTTTTAAAATAACAATTTTTACTAATTTTGCATCTGTGTACAAAAATTAGCACATGCACATTCATTCATGGACCAGGGAGCACTTGCGGGGTCCCAGCCTTTCAACCCCCTCGTACAGAGCGAGGCAGGGCCAGAGAAACAAAATAAATTTTCTCCAAGGATAACAGTATGAGCCTAGACTATTTTCTCCTTTTTGGTCCAATTGAAAGAACAACCTGGACAAAATCATAGAGCTTTTGCACCAGATCCTGGGTCTGCCCAATCATACAGGGCTCTTCTTTCACTGCAGGGGGTATATTATTATTTATTTCAACTTGATTTCAGGTAGCCTTGCTTGTGAAGAATCGAATCCTAATTTCTGTATCTTCCTTATCCCATAGCAGCTGAAAAGTCTTTCTTTTTTTTGGGGGGGGGGGGGGGGGGGGCAGGCCGGTGAGCTGCTTGCTTTTTGTTTGGTTGATTTGTGTTGGCATGACGTTTGTTTTGGTTTTCTTTTTGGTTCCCAGCTTCATTGCCTGGTCTGTGATTAAATATACCACATTCCTTTGGCACGTATTCAGGTTTATCAGTTCTTCATAAAATTAATGCAAGAAGGAAAACAATGTCACATTATATGTTGTTTGCAACTACAGGAACTTGCATGTTTGGAATTAATCCTAGGCTGTTCGTAATAACCCATTTATTTGATGATAACATTTCCCCCCTCAGCTTCATCCCAAAAGGCCCCCAGCACAGCTTACAAGGATAAGAAACTAAACAGCCCCTGCCTGAAGGCTTGTGATCTGAAAGACACAGCACAAAAGGAAAGAGGACTGAGAGGGAAGAGGAAAAACACATTTGGCCACTTGATTCTTAGCTCCAAAGATCTGCACATGAAGGAGCTGGATCAAATCTGAATTTAAGTGCTGCTGCTTCCTTTCCTCTAAAGTCACCATTGACCGTTTGTAACAGGAGAGAGACAGTCCCCAGTAGAAGTTGTACCCAGGTCCAATAGAGGGTTTGTAACTGCTGCTCTCCCCCCCCCCCCCACACTCCCCAATGGCCAGGGAAGCAAGCAAGCTTGTGATCCTGCTCATCATAAAATTCCAAATGTCCCAATCCATGTCATAATGATGTGCTGCAAAAAGCAACAGGTTTTAAAGGTTTTTTTTAAAGTGTCATGCACGAGCAAACATATTGTACACCAATAACTTTAATGAACTACATTTATTTATTCCTCCTCTGTTGAATGATCAAACAGGGAAAACATGTGGTTCAGTTCAGTGTGCGAAGTGTTCCATGCTATTTCAGTCTGAAAGTTCTCACCAAAAGAAAATGCAAGATTCTTAAACAGGGTGGGTTTGATTTAAATCCATCACTAGTCAGCAATCCTGGATTTAATAATAGTTTTCTACCTAATTTGCACGCATGCCTGCCTTACCTCTAAGTAAAGAAACTTCATTAAAGTATTCCCAAACGGTCTCTTTTACAGCATGCTGCCATTACAGGCTTTCTCCTCCAGGGGAAAAATAATATGATAAACCTCAGGCTGTACACAAAAAGATCCGAAGACTGGTGGGATATTGCTTGCCCTCTGCCTCACACTTAGATCTTTCTGCAGATCTATTTCACTCCTAACAATCTTCTTCTATTCATTGCATTTTTTTAAAAACTTAGCAAGTAAGAGGTAAGGGGTAGTTTCTGTGTGCATCGATTTGCAAAGAAACAATGAGATTAAGGTCTTTCTCTCAGTTCTGTAGCTTTATATTATGTTTGCTGTGAAGAGGCATGTGATCTCTGCAGTCTCAAATTCAGAACTGTAAAACCAAGTACCTGTGACAGTATCTTCTAGACAGAAAAATTGCCTACTAATCATACAGAAACCTCTGGAAGAGAATGACATTGTGAATGGATTAATTGAATTCACTTACCAAAAAAATTAAACATTGCATGAATATACAGCTTCATGCTACATAATTAAAAACTAATCTTTATTTCATGAATAACCTTTGGGCTATAAAGTATCTTAAATAGAAAAGTAGCTTAAAATCCGATTTTTAATTAAAAAACAATTTATTTTTAGGTACCATGTGCTTAAAAATATGGACCGAATGCTGATTTTTTAAAATCTACAAATTTTTCTTACAGCTTTGTCAATTACAGGCCTGGCATATGTGAAATTTTCAGGGATATGTTGGGCATTGTAGGACTTGCTGGGCAGTGCAGCCATGCAAAGCATTGCGCCTTAAAATATTTTCCTGCTGCTCTCTCACGTTAAGAGCAATTCGTACACATCCATCGGGGGAAAAGCTTGGAATTTACTTCCAAAGAAACGCGTCTGAATCAAAACAGCTCTAGAAATTTACCCAGCCCTGCACGGCGCGGGGGGAAGGGGGCGCTCTCCAGTGACCACACCAAACATGGCAGCCTTCGCTTCAGCTACCAGAAAGCAAGATGGAGGACCCTCCCTAGTCACGCGAGAGGGGACGTCCAGAAGATTCTTGCACTTGCGATTAGGCAGAGAAACAACCCTCAGCCAAGATGGTGGCGGCGAAGCTGTCTTGCCCTCTCTTCGGGGAGCGCGGAGGTCACGTGAACAGAGCGGAGCCAATAGAGTGCGGAGGCGTGGCGCCGCCCGCTTCCCAGCGGGCTTTGCGTTGGCAAGTACGCCACTGACGCGGGGCCGGCGGCTGGGAGGTGAGTGCGGTCGCGGCTCGGCGGGCGGGCGGGCGGAGGGCGGCTTCGGACCCGGACCCGGACCCGGATCCGGACGGGCCCGCTCCTGCTTCATTACGATGCTTGGGCAGAAGGCATTGCAGGGGTAACGCAGTTCATGGCGTGAGGCCCCATCGTTTCCACACGCCCCACTCGGAGCTGTCGAGAGAGGGCCCCCCGAGGGAAGAAGAGGCGTGTGCGTTGAGGGGGGAGCCTGTGTAGCCCACCGCTGTCGTAATCATAGTTATTACATAATGCACAATATGCTGTTATAATTCGGTATTGCTTATTTTGTTATTATGTGATTACCTTTATTTAAAACTTTTATATACCGTCCATTTCCGAGGTCTCAGTACGGTCTATACACACACATCACATATATAATAATATATATTATTCATGTAGTCTAAAGTGCCTGATCCTGCCTAATCTCGGAAGCTAAGCAGGGGCCAGGTTAGGATCTAGGTGGGAGCTTGAGGCCTCTATTGGGCAAGGGGTTGAACTTCAGTGACCTTTTAGGCCCTTTCCAAGTGTAGGACTCTATTCTGTTGTACAACACTTTATGTTACATTCAGAATAGCCGTTGTGTAACAATAGTGTAATTATTGACCACCACCACCATCATTTATTTCATTTCTGTAGCAGCCCACAGCCAAAGCTTTCTGGTTGGCTTACAGCAGTGCATAAAAGAGTACAATAAAATCACGTATTGTAATATCTCATCCAAAGAAACTTTAAAAGAAGCCAAAGACATACAGTGAAGAGCAATTCTCTGAATTAGAAACAAAAAATACTTGGGATAGCTAATACCCTCAAGCCCTTGGATAATCAAGTGTGTCTTTAAAAGCTTCAGCATAAAGGTTTGTTTTAACCTGGTACTGAAAAGATACCAGGTTGGTGGCAGGGAGGTCATTTGGAGAATGGGGGCCACCAGTGACAAGCCCCCCCGCCCCGCTTTGTTGCCACTTTCTGAGTCACGGACTTGATATTCATAGGAAGGCCCTAAAGGTTGAGCATAGTGTCTGGGTAGATTGCATTTGGGAGGGGTACTCTTGCAAGTATTCCCCCAAACTGTAAGGGTTTAGTTTCCTGCCTCGTAGGATTTTCCAGTTTGGATAGGGTCTTGTCTGCTGGGTTCGGTTTTTCAAGTTTGTGATCTGCATTCCAGTGCACACACAGCCATGGAACTTACTGGATGACTCTGGGCTAGGCATTTAATCGCAGCCTAACGTACCTCACAGAGTCTTTACTGTGAGGATGGAATGGAGAAGAGGAGAATCTTAGAAGCCACCTTTGGTTCTTTGCAAGAGGGGAAAAAAGTGGGGTATAACTGCAGTGTAATAGTGCGTTGTATTTGTATCTTGTACTTTTTTTCTTGTGAAGAACTCATGGTAGCCACCCGCTTACATACCTGCATCTTACCCTCCCAGCAGCCTTGTTAGGCTTGGAATAAATGCCTGGCCCAGAGCCATCCAGCAAGCTTCATGACTAGGTACAGACTAAAAACTAGATCTCCCAGGTCCCTAGTCCAGGACTCTGACTAGTGCCTCACAGCGGATCTATTAAAAATAATAACTACTTGAAATAAAATAATATAGTATAACATCACAGAGCAAGAGAGAAATTTAAAGCAGAATAAAACCATAGTGAAAACTAATGAAAATAATTTGGGATTTTAGGAACGGAAATATATAGGTGGTTTTGGTTTAGTTTTAAGCACTGAAATTTATACAAATTACATAGATAACAAAATATCCTTACCGATTGGCATAATCAGCCTTGAAAAGAATATAAAGCAAAATGTATAATGGTGCAAATGGAACCACAGGGCTTTCTGATTTGGGCATTGGATCCATAAGTGATTTATTTAAAAAGGTGTTTGGATGTATTATCAATTTATTAGATCACCACAATATTAGTGCTCCACTCTTGATTCTAAGTAGGTGCTTCGGCCCCTGTTAATATCCCTTGAAAAGCCTCTTCTGAGAATTGAGATAAGAGACATTCACGCACATGGCTTCTTTATTCATTATGACATCATACCACTTGACTCAGCATAGTAGCTTGCTATTACAGAATGATAACTCATAATGGGCACAGGGCCAAGCATTGTTACTTGGTTTTGCATCATGTCTTTTGCATCTACTCTCTCTTTTTCCCCCCAAGACTTTGGAGAAGCCAAAAAATACAGTCTGCAAAAAAGCTTATGAAACATATTTCTTGTTAAAAATCTTGTTTTTCTTGTTAAAATTGGGATTTTCTCCCAGGTATGTATGTATAGAACTGTAACTTATACATGGATTTCATCATCAGTCTGTCTCCCCCCCCCCCCACAGTTGGTTGCCAACTGTTATAAGATTTGTAATAGATTCAGGACCAAATTTCTGCAGCAAATGTGGTATAAAGCTATTTCCCTGGGTTTTTTTATTGGAGTAGCAAGCACAAGCATTTTTCCCCTTCACCACTACTATGAAATTGTTTCCTCAGCCTCATTCACAGCGGGATTCCTGCTAAGTTGATGTTGCTTTAAAAAAAGCCCCTTATGTGATGTTTTCTGTATCTTCAAAATACATTTTTAGAGATCAGTCAGCTGAATCCTAGAATCTGGGAAAGAAGTGTAGAAGGGAGAAAACTTGTCATGTGTGGAAATGGTTGCCGCTGTCCTCAGTTTAATTCTGAATTTGTCTTTTGTTAGCATCTGGGCTTATGATTTTAGCTGTTTCAAGATTTAGGGTGCAATTCCATGTAAGATTGGAGAGAAGATAGTCCCACAATTCTCAGCATTCCTGAGCCAGCATGCATGGCTAGGGCATTTTGGAAGTTGTAGCACTTCTTTCTCCCTAAACATGCATAGGACTGCCTGTTTAGTTTCTTTAGGGTGAAAATCAAAGATTGCCTTGATGGTGATTTAATATCAAATGATAATTATCAACCATGTCACAGTGTTAAGTTTAAAGAGGATGGATGTACTAGTGACACATTCATCCAATCCTTGTCCATTTTTTTTTGCAATAATGAAGTTACAGCTACTTAAACAGCTTACTGATTTGGTATCTGTTACATCAAGGACACCAAAGGTTTAGCTGCATGGAGCTTTTGAAAAGGTGCGTTCTGCAGTGAATAGTGCAGTGCACACTCACAAACCAATCATTGTACTTGTGCTATAGTGCTCCCAGTTCTTTTGCTAGCAAACCATATCACCAGAGGGAATCGGCCATTACCTACCACACAGTATATACAACCAGCATTCCGATTTGAAAGAGGATGTGTGCTTTCATTAGCAGAGGATTCTTTGCATGCACTTCCTGTGTTTCTGATTTAGTCTAACAGCATGAGAAACTCAAATGTGAAGGTGCCTGGTGAGAGTATTATCTCGATTCCAGTCTCCCTGGCTTCAAGATTTATTAAATTACAGCAGACAAACAGGAAATTGGGCTTATGAGATGAAACCACAATCCACAAGTAATTTGGAAGATAAAGATTTCAGATAAACACCATGCAATTATTAAATGAAAAGTGCATTGTGGAACAACTTGCTTTAAAGCATGATAGATCAGTTCTTGCATGCAAAGTGAACAACATACCAACAGCTTCTCTTTGGCCTTGGGGCAACTGATGTTGATCCTAGGATCTTACGGCAGACTCTGGAGATAGAGCCATTGGAAGTATCCAACTCTGTGCCTTCTTCATACTGGTCAGTTGCTTTCAGACTTGACTGAATTCTGGTGAACACAACAACCGTTTCTCTGCCTTCCCCTCATTTCAAACTCCAGAGGTCCAGGCTGAGAGAAATCACTGCCCTCCTTCCAAAAGGAATCAAGTAGTCTTACTGAACTTTCTATCATGCAAAACAGTTTGCTCTCTCATTCAACTTTTAGAACTTATGTTCAGGCATGGGCTACATCAATATTAGAGCACATGATTAACATAGCAAAGTTCCTGGCTTAAATGTTAAATTAGGGGTGGGCAACTTGTAGCCTCCTGCTGCCATCAGCCCTAGCTGCATAAACAACGATGAGGAGTATTGGCTGCTGTAGGCAAAAACATCTGGAAAGCCACAAGTTGTTCACCCCTGTGTTAAATACCCGGCATGTCCAGGCGAAAAACAAGACCTGAACTTGAGGCCTTGGAGAGCTAACTCACCTGATGTTTGGTGCCTCCATACATCACTGCTCTTTTTTATGGTGATGTTAGGAAGCAGCCTGACTGCTCTAGTGGATCTGTTCTCCAACCTTTGGGCTGTGGAAGTCACTCTCTTGCTTTTGTATCATTACAGGCAGGAATAGCCATTGACGTTGACGTGACAGTGCAGTCATGTTGGCAGCAAGGCTGGTGTGCCTTCGGGCTCTCCCGTGCAGGAGTCTGCGCCCTGCACTCACTCAGACATCTCCTGCGTTGCGGAATTCTGCTCTGAAGACGAAGCAGTGGCTTTTGCAACCGTATCAGGTAGGTCTCTTTTTGAATCTAATCCGTGCCTTGAGCTTTCTCATTGATTTACCTCTTTAAGAGCTTTCATTGCATGTCACTCCATTTTTACATGAATTGTGATGTGCTGTAAATAATTTAGCATTTGTTTTTTTATAACCTAGCATGGCTCTGTCTCCTAATACCCAATGGTATGACTTTGAGCTGTTAGCTATTGGGTATCTTTTGCTTAGTGTGCAATGAGATACGGAAGATGTCTGCTTGTTTGCAGTTAAACCAAAGTGTGGGCCTTTGGGGATGGGTGACTTACTGCTCTGCTTCAGGAAAATACACAGACTTAGGTGTGCCCTCCTCTTCTCTCCCTGATTCACTAACCTTGATTTAAACAAGTCATATCTGTGCACATTTGGACATTAAGAGGGAACTGGTTGGTTTTAAAGTAGGAGCTTTCAGTCTCTTTTTCTGGTGGGTAAAACAGGAGGAAGCACACTATCCTGAGGCTCCCGTGCATATGTTCACATGGTGAGAAAGCCTGACTTCTGTAAGATCTGATCCAGGACATTCTGTTGAGCAGCTGTGGCCCTGCATGGTGTGAATAATGACCATGGCAGCGCAACTGGCTTAGTGATGCAGCTTCATCATAAGCAGCCTAAAATCTATCCTGTTCTTGGCCTGTTTCGCATGCCTCCATACTGGGACGGATGTTGCTTCTCTCTGGTGCAGTATCACGTGGATGTTGCATTCACGTGAGCAGCACAGCCAGCTGAGCTGGGGGCAGTCCCTTTCTTAATGGCCAGGAGATGATCAGGTAAGAAAGGCATATGAGAAAAGCCTTGCTTACATGACTGCATCATTTGCACTCCATAGCTGTGCATAATACCATTAGAGGGAAATGGGCTCCATGCCACTGAGGGTGCACTTGAAGGTGCCCTCTTCATGGTTATTATATTCTTTGAAACTGCTTACCTACTAGGGTAAACATTAATGCTTCTTGGGATTATAAAGAGAGACTGCTCTTTATGCTTGCTTAGTGCTATTTTACGTTAATCACCTAAGGAGCAATTCTGCAACTGTAGGCGGTGTCCAAAGGGCTGTCGGATATGTTTGATTCCCAGCTCTAAGGTCAGTGAACCTCAGAGCTCGGAATCAGAATCCTGCCCGCTTCTGCCTCGCAGCTGGCACAGAAATAACTCTGCTGGCTGCCTCTCCGAAGTTGAGAACACAACCTCAGATGTGGGAAAGGTAGTTGTTCAGTGGGTAGAGAGAGTGGAAAACTAGGGAGGCCTGGGTACGGGCTGTCCTGATGCTTCTCCAGCTGCCCTCCCTCCCCGTTTGGCATGCCCCAGCAAGATGGACAACGAAGCCTATCTAGTGAAAGTACGGCATGAGGCAAAAATTCCATCTTCCACTCCTCCCATCTTTCTTAGCCTCCTGATTCAGGGGTTTGTGCAGTTCCCCACAAGACTGCACCCTTAATTTCCCAGTGCTGCCCGCCCCCTGTCCTTTTTTAAAAGATGAATTGAGTGTTGGTATATGTGTTTTCTCTTAGCTTTATATGTGTTAGATGGCCAAAGAAAACTCTGGTCTCCAGTCACTTTTTCTCAGTGTCTGACTCCTGTGTCACATTATTACTGCCATAGTATTATGTGTTTTTTCCCCTAGGTGACCAGAGGAATATTCGTTAGCTGTGTTTACATAATAGAAATCTAAAATACTCTCTTCTTAATTTTTCTTGTAACAGGGGTATGCCACCAAAACTAGGATGGCTGTTCGCCGGGGAAGAACTGGTCAAGAAATTAAGGAAGCTGCTTTTGAACCAGCGATGGAGAGAGCTTTTAAAAGTAAGGGCATGCACCTCTCAGCCTTGTTCTGACTATCAAATAACAGGGAAAGCAAAGCTCAAAACCAGGATAATAGAAATTGATGACCTCTGTATTTTCACTTGTCAGTTGTAATAACCATCTATTTTAAAGGAGACATACTTGAACAGATTTAATTTTTAAATTACTTTATTTTGAAAATTGTTTAAAAATGAGACATACATTTAATACAAGCAGTGTCTTCTAAATGTAATTCATGGTTTTCTAGCAAAAGCATTTTAATTCATTATCAGAATGCGCAAGCTCAGTGTGGTGAGTGTCAGAGAAGCTGAGAACAGTGCCTCCAGCAGGCCGATCGCTCTCACTAGTCTGGTGTCTCTGCAGGGTCACCCAAGGTAGAATGGTCAATGCTGAAGCTCCAGACTAAGATGTGTCCACCCTCTTCAGGAGTAATCATCACCATCAGCAGAAGGGAATGGATTTCTCTAATGTTGATGGGGCAGAGAAACTCCTGAAGGGCAGCTGCTGGGCAGCCATGGTAGTTTGAAGGCAACAGTGGCAGAGAATCTTTCACAGACAGTGGTGGTGATGCTCAAGCTAGCTCCTCTTAATACGGTGCAAAAGAAGGCAACGGTGGACAATTCGTGAATATCTTTTACCTTGTAAGTCCTCTGATGAAATAATCCAGAATGAATCAAGATGAGGCGGCGGCGAAGATATCGAAAAACATTTTTATGCAGGCATCCAAGAAGAAATTGTTAATGCACCAAAACAAGACATCCAGTCATCCAGGCAGGTGACTGGACCACAGAAGTTGGAAACAAAATAGGATGAAATATTGTGGGAGAGGTTGCCTAGCTAGGGGTTAAAACAACCAGAGGAATGATGGAGCCAGCCATTTGTTCCTTGCAAATACATACTTCAGACGACTGATCAGATGACTACCCATGACAATCACCAGACAGCCAACATAGAAATCAAATGACCACATAATTGGAAGAAGTGGGTGGAGAAATTGTACTCTCACAGCCAAAATAAGACCAGGAGCAGACTGGTAGTGACCATGAATTATTAATATCAAAAATCAGAGTAAAACTGAAGATAGTAAAACTGCTAAGATACTACATATTTTAAAAAACATTCCTAACTTGACCATGAACCAGAAGAATTGTGAACTGAAACCCAATACATTATTAGGAAAGAATAAAGGTAAAGGTTTCCCCTTAACATTAAGTCCAGTCATGCCTGACTCTAGGGGGTGGTGCTCATCTCTGTTTCCTAGCCGAGGGAGCCAGCGTTTGTCCACAGACAGTCTCCGTAGTCATGTGGCCGGCATGGCTAAACGCCGAAGTGCATGGAATGCTGTTACCTGCCCACCGGAGTGGTACCTTTTTATCTACTTGCATTTGCATGCTTTCGAACTGCAAGGTTGGCAGGAGCTGGGACGGAGCAACGGGAACTCACCCCATTGTGCAGATTCAAACCGGCGACCTTTCGATCAACCAACCCAGCAGTACAGTGGTTTAAATCACTGCGCCAACTGCAGTCCCTTAGGGAACAATGCAAAAACACAATTCCTATAGCGCAAAAGAGTGGGGGAGAGGGGAGCCTAGATGGGTTGCAGAAGAAACCTGATTTCACGTGCGAAGTGATTCTGAAGGTGATGCCGCAAATAATTTTATCATGTATGCAGTGAGAAATGCTTGCCATTCAAAACAGATCCAAAAAGAAATAATTTGGAATCTTTCTTTCCAAGATTCCAAATCTTACTCATTCATATTTGCAAGTTCATATTGCAATATTGCAAATACATGTTGAATCCTGAAATGCACCAACGAAATTCAGGAGATGATCAGTCTGTACAGTTCTAAACCAACCTTCCTCAACTGTGCAGCCACCATACATGTTGGATTTCAACTCCCACCATCCTCTGCCAGCAGAGCTACCATTCAGAAATGCTGGAAGGTGTAGCCTAGAACACATGGAAATCACAAGGTTGGACTCGAAGAAACTATCAACGCTGAAGCATGAGACAGACAATAGGTGTGAAATTACCAGACTTTGCAGCAATTTCCTCAGTCCTGTGGTGATAATGATATACAGATGTAGATAATCTCAGGTGTGGAGGAGACCTTCAGGAAGGCTAGATTAATAGATGAACGTTTAGCTATTAAGTTGTAAAATCAAAATAAACCTATGTTTTTCCTCTGGAGAGGTTTCTATGTTCAACGTAACTCAAAATGCTCAGCCTAAATTTTTTATGTAAAGAGAGGCTTGATCTTACAGATCCCATTGGGTAGACTGCTGGCCATAAGAGGCTGGATGTTACAGTGGGCTTTTGGATCTAAGCATCTAAATTAAAAATGATTATGCACGTCAAGCCAACTTGTGAATCTGCCAATCTAAATCTCATTTGTCGATGTATCACAGTCCCCCATGAGGTTGATAACTGTTTGACTTTTGCTGACTCTTTGGGGCAATTATGGGTGGCAATAAATGGCCACTGAGTGATGTATGGTATAGTGAGTAGAAATCTGTGCCAGCCAGATATACTTCCATGCTTGTAATTATTCTGACTTATATCTGCTTGTCTACTATCTGTACCTGAACTTAATTATCTCCAATCACAAGCTGCGCATATCAAAACACATAACGGTTTGACCGTTCAGCATGTATTTCATAGAAATCAGACATGTAGTACAAAATTTTAGAAAAATTGTTTTGGTGTGATCCCTAACTGAGGAGAGGAAAGCATTTCAAGAATTAGAATGATTGAGGTTTTTTTTTCCTCTGCTAGTTGATCGGCTGGGAAGATGGTTTGTTGCTGGAGGTGCTGTCGTCGGTCTTGGAGCTGTCTGTTACTATGGACTGGGGATGTCCAATGAGATTGGAGCCATTGAAAAAGCTGCGTAAGCAAAAAACCTAAAGTATATTGGAGGTTTGGTTTGGTTTGTTTTTTTAACCAAGACTAGGTAGTTCTATTGTAAGCTGTCCCAAGACATCAGGGATGGACAGGTTAGGAAAGCTTTAAATAGATAGATAGTCAGAATAACTAATGTGGAGTTAGGGGATAACAAAAAATGTTTGTTCCCTTCTCAGGCACTTCAGAAATTGTGGTAGAATGTGTGGGTTCTTTCTGATTCAGGAAACATGGAACTAGAATAGATCTAATAAGCGTGGCTATTTCTTAAGCCTTGGCTAAATCGGCACAGATTTAAAAAAACCCACAAAGCTGTACATTGGTTTCCTGTCAAATAGGGAAACAGTTGTTTGTACTGGAAATTATGGGACGGTGGGGGGGGGGGGCAGATGTCAATTTGAGAATGTTTCTTTTACTACATAAAATATATAAGTAATAGTTTGCCTTATGGTACATTAATGTTTCAAATACCATAATCAAGTATTTTATTTTTTTAAAACTTGACCTGTAAATTTTAATGCACATATTCCACAGCTAATGCTCTGTTGACAGTGAAGTTAATCTTCAGCTGGTAGACCTGCTGCTAAAGTCATGCTAGTATTTTGCTCAGGTTATTTTGGTTCTGGTGTGTTAATGAACTGAGATAAAATATCAGAGACTCTTTCCTTCTAATGTTGACAAGTCCTCTGTTAGTATCTGGAAAGCAGTATTTCAAAAAGGCACCTAAGTACTGAGCTACCATGCAAATTTATTTCAGTGTAATTGCCTACAGATCTAAAAAAGACTTATCAGTTGAGATACCAAAGACTGCTCTGAAAGGGCAGGTGCTGTGTAATTAGAGGGATAGTCACAGGAAGAAGAACTATAGAAACCAGTGGGAATTAAATTAGTTATGAGTAACTTGTCTCATTTATTTCAGTGAAACTCCTCTTAGCATGATGATGTATGGATCCAGTCTGTTTTTTAACTGTTCACTTGATATGCTACCCATAAATAATACATGGTATCCTAAAGGGACAGAACTTCAAGTTCATGTCATCAACAGGGATGTCAGAAAAAAACCATGATGGAATCAAATGAGTTGGAATTCCTGTGAACCTATCAGTAGTTTCCATAAAGCACCTAGCTTTTTCACAATTGCATGGATTCCACGGAGTTGCAGGCCGTATTTTAACTTCTGGGGGGATTGTATTAAGTGGCACTTGTGCTAATGCACATTAGAGCAAATGGAATACAATTCTCATACATTCCAAAACAAAGCCAGTTCCATCAGTGAAAAGACAACAGAGCAAAAGATGTGAGCCATGGGTAGAATGGTTTTAACTAAATCCACACACCCTAGTCAAGGACCTGTTGCATTGAAGCCCTTCTATATGGTGTCAGGGGTAGGGTGTGGAGTAAGGATTATTGCTTGCTGTAGTGTTCCACAGAATGTTCTTGTGTTTTCTGTTTGTTGCTAGTATCTGGCCACAGTACGTGAAAGACAGAATCCGGTCCACCTACATGTATTTTGCCGGAAGTGTTGGCTTGACAGCTTTGTCTGCTGTACTCGTCAGTAGATCTCCTGCTCTGATGGGTATGATGATGAAGGGCTCTTGGCTGGTAAGATCTCTTTTAGTGTCATCTACCTGCACACATCAGAGAACATATTGCAAGAGAAGTCTTCCACTATTCATTGACGGAGTTAGGTTTTCTCATAAGCAGCAAAGGCTCCCTGAAGTGCAGTTGATGAAAAGGCTGCCCTGTGGACCACTTTCTTTAAAAAGAACAAGTGGTTTCAAGCCCATGTGAGTGGCATTCCTTCGCTCAAGGAACCCTGAGAGTGGAGGACATGGGCGTCCTCTGATTCTGCTTGCAGTAGCGAAAAGATGAGAGGGGTACAGGTCACTATTCTGCAGGTGTAGGCAGTCCATTCTGCAGTTGGGTGGTGACAGAGAGAGTGCCTCAGAGTGATAAAGTATAGTTGAGAATGCTGGGCTGGGGCTTGGGAGATCTGGGTTCAAGTTCCCTCTCAGCCGTGGAACTCTCTGGCTAACTTCAGGTCAGTCACAGGCACTCAGCCCAACCTACCTCACAGAGTCGTCATTGTGAGAAGATTGAGAGGAAGAAGGGAATTAGGTAGGTCACCTTGACTTCCTTGAAAGGAGAAAAAGGCAGGATATGAAATAACAGCGAGTCAAGCGTAGAACAAGTATGACTTGACAGCTAACACAAGGCAGTTGCTTCTTTAGCAGCTTTGCTAACAATTCAGATGAATGGGGGATTCAGTGCTGCTACCGGGGCCTCTGTCTGTGTGATGAAGGGCAAGCATGTAATGGGCTTCCTCACACAGGCCGGCTCTAATGCCAGAAGTAACCTGGTGTCTTGAATGAGTGGGGTCCATATTGCTGGGGCTGGTGGGCAGGTTTTCCGTGGCTCCCATCACTGAACCATGTAATAACAAAGCCTCTGAGGTGTATCTGCTGAATTTGCTTGTCATTGGTGGGAGGCAAGAGGTCATGCATGGCTCCCTGCCTTATCACGCAGCTGTAAACAAAGAGTTTTGTAAGAGCACACTATAGTGGGCTGGTGGGCTGGGCACTGCATCACTGCAGTCCCTTCGCTGCCCTGAAATTCCAGCACTGGTGATGGAAGTGTTTTCTACAGGTGAAAGTTAGGCGGGGACAGTACTAATCGCCGAGCTCTACCTTTTTTGTCCGAAACATTTTTCTAGTACAGCTTTTGACTTAATGTTTAGCAGTCACAATACTGGATGCTTCTTAATTTAGTAAAATGCTGTCTTTATGTAGAAGGTCATAGAAATAGAACATACATAAATGTGAACAAGATGTATAAAAAAATTAAGTGTTAGCCACTAAGCTACGTATGTGCAGCGAGTTCAATGGCATGTGAAATGATTTTCAGGGACCTGGAATGGCAGGTCTTGCTACATAAGGGTTTGTTTACGTTACCAAACAATAGATCAATTCTAGGTTGAGTAACTCTCTACAGTGTCCTAAAGTGGTATTTTGCTAGCCTATCCAGTAATGTTGATACGCTTAAATGCTGATCCAAACACGACAATTTTCAGCACGCACCTAAAAATATAATGGTGATTGAGATGCACATTAGTTTCCCAGTGATACCCATCAGAAGAACAGAATTCGGTTCAGCTTCCTAATGCCTGTGGAAAGCCCCTGAATAAATATTGCAGGTGGAAAGCCCCTGAATAAATATTGCAGGTGAACTTCAGACAGCTGTAAAGCATTAAATAAAACAGCTAATAAAATTGGCTTATTATTAATTTTTTTCAGGCGATAGGTGCAACCTTTGCAGCAATGATTGGTGCCGGAATGTTAGTTAGATCTATAGATTATGAACATAGCCCTGTCCCTAAACACCTGGCTTGGATGCTGCATGCAGGTATGTGACTTCTAATCTCCTGTGCGTCTTTTCTTAGCTGGCATCAGATCCCCTGAACAGCTCACCTCACCGGAACATATTTCTATCCCTGCTTGTGGTCACAAGCACACTTGATAATCAAGTCTTGTCTTAGCTTGTATTAATCGTGTGATTGCAAGCACTGCAATGCATTGGTTCTAGATTGTGGGCTGCGCTCTCCTGCCAGATGCAGAATGTCTGGACATGAGTTGTAGTGTTCCAGGGAGTAACCTTAAGGCAGTGGGAACTTTTTTCCCTTACTTGCCGGGACATGGGTAGGGTGACTGTTCGCTGAAATCCATCGGGCTAAAGGGGATGACCATTTCCATGCTTATCCTGTCACCTTGACCTGATGCTGGGAAGAGTGGCTCTGGCATTGTCCTAATGTCCTGTGTATAGTTGGGTTCAGGACGGAGGCTTCTTAGTCTGTTCCATAGACCTTCCCATACAGCAGCAGACAATAAGTACCTGACTTTACAAAAGGATATGAGTGTCCCATGCTGCAGAACTTTTGGGTGGTTCAGTGTCAGGGGCAGGCCAAAGATGGAATACCTTTACAGTGGGGGCACAAGCGCAGAATGTTCAAACGACAGTGGCTTGGAGCCACATATCCACAGATGTGATCGTGCTTAACTGGGCTGTGGTCATGCACAGTATTCCACACGCGCACGAGGGAATCTTGGTTGCTCCCTTTGGGCGGCATTTCCTTGTAACTTCCAAAACGACCCTTCAGTACCAAACAGACCAAAAGCCCTAGGATCTACAGCTAGAACTTGCTCATCTTCGCATGCATGCATGCACCGTAGGCTTTCGAGCCTAGGAAATTGCCCCCAGCCAGTGAAATAAATACCTGCTCTAGACAGTCGAGCTGGCATAATCTGAGAACTTCAGTATCAGCAGTGTGAGTAGGTGTACAAGGTAGGAATGTGGATGTCTCTTGTTCAGCTATCCCTCAGCCACAAACCTGTGACGAGAGTTTAGACAACTTTCTGTCGCTCTGTCTTTCTGCCTCAGACCTTGTGATAAAGAGCTAATAAAAGCCTTTCACACATTTAAAATATGTTTGAATCAACTGTTGCTTGGGAGCATAAAAGGTTCTAGAGTGGAGGGCACTATTGCATAGCTATGAAATTTGTTTCAGGGCCTTTGCATTAACATGTTGGGTCCCTCTATTTTATACCACTCAGTATACCTCCAGAATTTAAATTGGATCTAACATAGATCACAGTTTGTAGCTGCTCTATAAAGGAGGGTAGGGGGAATAGAAGTCAGAGTGCTCTGACTATTGCAGAGGATGTTATGCTTGCCTCAGCACCATACATTAGTGGCTTGAGTACTTGCCACTGACAAGGACTTTTGGGCTCAGAGTGTGTGTGTGTGAGAAGAACATAAAGCAATGCTTCCCACCCCATCTTCTCCGTGTTTGTGTTGGCTCCACATGTTCACCGAGCACCTGCACTGAAAGAGAAACAGTTCATGAAAATCCCAATTGCAGATGCCCCGTGATGCTAGGTTATTCCACTGTATAAACAAACCACTGAAAATGCTAGACTGTAGGCAGTGTGCCCCTCATGCAGATATGTCACGGAATTAACCACAGCTCCGTCTTTCTTCTGCTTAGGTGTAATGGGTGCTGTGGTGGCTCCTCTCACTCTTCTGGGCGGCCCTCTGCTCATCCGAGCGGCTTGGTACACAGCAGGGATTGTAGGTGGGCTCTCCACTGTGGCCATGTGCGCACCAAGCGAGAAATTTCTGAACATGGGGGCCCCTCTGGGAGTCGGCTTTGGCCTTGTGCTTGCTTCTTCCGTTGGTAAGTGGACTGTGCTACCTTAAGAACGTGCCTCAAGTGCCCAGAATCAAAAGTATTTGATACAGTTAATATGTACATGGATTTTTATGCATTTAATTTAATTGAACATTTAATTTAACATTGAGCTTTATGTATTCAGGCTATTCACCTAGCATATATGCAGTGCAAATAGATCCTGCATTGCATACATTTCTCACCATATTAGAAATCCTTACATTGAGACTAGAATCACCTGATTCTCTTTGCCTGTTTGAGGACTTGTGAAGAGCAAATATCTGACAGCTCCAATTAAACATTACAAAAGGGAGATTGAAACAGTGTCATGCCATATTCAGGATCATCCAGTGATCCCATTATTGATGAAGAGCTGGTTTTGGTAATTCTTTCCATTATGTTGTGTTTGTAGCATTTGAAAGAGCTCTGCATGTCTAGTGTATGTGCACAGTCAGAGAATGCATGCTTTGTTCTTGACATCCTTTCTGTGTGTCTTTCAGGATCCATGTTCTTCCCTCCAACATCTGCATTTGGCGCTGGCCTCTATTCTGTGGCCGTTTATGGGGGCTTGGTCCTTTTTAGTTTGTTCCTGCTCTATGATACTCAGAAAGTGGTAAAACGTGCAGAGACTCAACCGCTGTATGGTGTAGGTCTCCAGAAGTATGATCCCATCAATTCGTAAGTCTATCCTTTTGCTAAATGTAGCATAAACTGACAGGCCAGATTTAGAGAAGCTCAGTCTTGTGGAATACTAGAAAATGTGGCTTGTTTCTGGGTCCTCCCTGCTGTGCCAGAAATCCATGCATAGTCTCCTAACAGTGGGCTCACCAATGCAGAGAAGCCTGTGGGCATGGAGCGCACATCCACACGGTAGTGCCAGTGCTCCCCCCCGTAGCAGCCCTGGCCTTGCCCTAGTGTAATGATGCAACAGAGTCACCTGGTGAAGAGCAGGCCCTCGCACAGTGTGCTTGGCACACTGCTCCTGGGAAGGGGAGGCTGACAGATGCATGGCAAATTGCCTGCAGCCCCTTTGAGCCCAGCTGTAATACAAGTGAGCGACAGAGCCAGAAGGACCCATGGAAAACGTTGGATACTTTTGCCAAGGTTCTCCAAATAGTTTCTGCACTGACCCCGTCAGAGCTTTACATGAGTTCTCAGTAGTCTTTCCCCTCCCGGGCCCAAACTTTACAGAGGCCTTATGCCAGAGTTGAGGAAACTACAGTCCTCCAGATGTGGTTGGACCACACCTCCCCGGAGGTGCAAAGTAACGGATTACTAGGTTTGGACCAGCCTGCAGTTCTGCAGCTGGAATTATGCATCCTTTAGTAAAAGGTTTACTGTCATTGTGCTCTATGTGGCTTTTAAAGTTAGAAAGTAAGAGGCACAATAGGAGGCTGGGTTTGGCAGTAGTTACACCTGCTGCTGGTAACTCTTTAGATGGTTGCCAGTACACCAGCTGAGTGAGTCTTAAAAGCATGCGCATATATATTATATTCTGTAATAGTAGTCTTCAGACAGCTAAGCAAGGGAGAGCTATGAAATTCTCTGGTTCTTGACCGTGAATCATGAATGAAGATGGGTGGGCAGGTTGGCTAGTAAAAGTTAGCATAGAGTAGTAATTTTTTGGACTTACTGCAAGGGCTGTTCTAACAGACTAAATGAATTTAGATAAGAATCGGATGCTCCTACAATGCAAGCAGGTCGTCCTTTTCTGCATGAGAGAGGCCAGTGCAGAATCTCGGCCAGTTATTTTATTGCTGAGGTATGTTGAACTTGGGCCTGCTTCTCTTGTGTTTCAGGTGTATGGGTATTTACATGGACACGCTCAACATCTTTATCAGAGTGGCCACTATGCTTGCGACTGGCGGCGGCGGCAGGAAGAAGTAGAGAGCCACTTCCTTTGGCAGACCATACTGGCAGGTCATCAGGCACTTTGGCTTGTCTGCTTAGTGCATAATACCTAATAAAATTTCCATTGTGTACAAGCAGCTTTCATGTAGAAGCCGGACATTCTAAGCACTTCGACATGACCTTTAAGGTGTTTTCAGTGTAATGTGACTTGGCTCATTTTCCTGTTTAACTTTTAAACAGTTGAGTGGAAACTAGATTGCTGCATACCACATTCAGTCATCTCCTCTCTAATTGGGGGTGAATGGCAGAGAAGTTAATTTCAATATATGTATATTTGTTGCAGGTATCAGTTCAGTTCCTTCCTTTGAAAAGGTGAAGCTCTATGCTATGCTGTAATCTCCCTTCATATATAGGAATAGCCCAGGAGAACCCCATTTAAGCCTTTTTGGAAGGCACTGGAAACAGATATGTTCTCAAACTATTTATAGCCGATTAACTGTGCTGAAATGCATAATATATTGATAACAGCTGAGTGTAGCCACCACCTACTTGTGACTTGTGATACCTAATTTTTAAAAGGATAATTATTAGGATTCTCCTTGCACATCAGCAGAAAATTGGGGAACTACTAACTAGTATTTGTTCTGCTGTTACACAACTACCATCAAGCCTGTAACTTCTCTTTGAAAAGAAAAATAGTTAAGGCAAGGTGAATAAGGCATGGTAAAGGCAGTCTCTTGAATGGGCACCAGTTGGGAATTTCAGACTCCTTTAAAACTCAAGCTGGGAAGCAAATTTCATTTTAGAACGTTTTCTTCTCTACTCCCAACTCAAAATCCCATTAACTTCACTGTCATAAGTTTCTTTTGATTTTATCCCAAGATGCAAGTGAGGGGCTTCTTTCCTGAGCAACTGAGCAATGAGTTCTAAAAGACATTCAAGTGGGGTGTCCCTTTAATTCAACAACCACATTTTTTGCAACTAAGATTTGTATAAGCTGGCAGAACAGATGTATGAAAATTTATCAGGTAGAATAAAAGCTATTTTGGAAAGTGCTGTAGCCTCGTAATTTCTTTAACACTCATCTATTGAACCATTGTTATGCAACAGTTCAATGACTTTATTCTCCTTCTACCATGCCAATATATGCTTGTACCAGTTTCGGAAACAATAAAAGTCCTAGCCCAGCAGTTTATCAGTGTTTTATTTGATGATATAGAAAGACCTTGATTTGGTTAAAATTTTACTTTAATAACTGAAGCCATTTTCATTTCCTAAAATATCCTTCTCAAGGAAAATTTAAAAGAATTAGGTGGTCAGTGTTACATCACATATATGTCATGTAATACTACATTTTTATCCAAAGCCAGCCATTCTATTCAACAAATGGGGCATTTGTATACAATACTGTAACTCGGACCTTCTTAAAAGCAAGTTACTTAGGCACTGTGACTATCTTAGAGATCAGGCCAAAATAAGTACTTTTCCAAAACAAGAAAACATGTTTATAATTGCTAAGAGCTAGGTACATTCCTCATCCTCTGAGAAGCTATATGGGAAGGGGTTCATAGATACAGGGAAAGATAAGGCCCAGTTTTTCCTCCATGGGAGCTCGCATACATTGGGCCCAGTGTTTGCCAAGGTAGCCAGTACCAATTGCCTCGTAAGGCAAATAAATCTAAATTATTTGCTGTCCCAACATTGATTTTTGCAGCAGATTTCACACATTGTCTTTAGTTCTTGAATAACCCTAATAGGAAACTTTTCTAAAACCTGCCTTGGGAATAAATTCAGCAATTATTTTCAGCAAATCACTTCGCATTTAATATACTGAGTGCAATTTCTTTGTATGCAATTTGGGGTAGAAAGAAAAATCCCTGTTCTTTGACTTGCAGTTGGGGGAAATGAACTTTTTACTCCTTTCCCCAGGCAGCCCTCAGAAACTATCCATTGCAATTCTAACTTTCAGGTGGTGGAGTAAACCTGTGTGCTATGTTTATTACCCACAATTTCCTAGTAGTGTCTGCATCTAGTGCTGATTAGCAGCAATAGTACAAGATCAGCTGACCCCGAGCTGGTATCCACCTGGTGTTTTGAACCACAACTTCCAGCTTCCCAATCCTTGGACATGCCAGGTGGAACTGGTGGAACCTCAAGTTGAAAACATCTGAAGGCAACAGATTAAGGAAGGTGTTCCTACATAAATCTCTGAACACTCATAATCTTGATGTTTTATTTTAATAGCACAATAAATTTGCTAAAGTTCAAGAGGTGCAGCAACTTGTTGCTGCTGAATTCTGTAATGATAACTATGAATATAGATCTTAAAATCACCTATGTTTAGATTTGTACTTACTGCAGTGCCGTTTTAGACAGGATATGGAAACTGGTAATATAGCCTTCGATGAGGGAGTGGGTTGGGAGTAAGGCAGATGGCAACCGTTATTTTGAGGAGGAATTAGGGGATCTGAGAAAGCTGGAGGGAAGATAGCCTTCCTAAGTGACTTCTGGGCTCGGTATATGCTTAAGCTGTATTTGAATCAAGTTCCTCTACAGAGCAGAACAGATAGATTATTTCTCCCTAGGAGGTTCTTTCACACTAAGCATTACTCTTTTCAACCAGTTTCCAAACACTCTCATTTTGGGGAAAGTAAAAATGTAAGCCACTCAAAGCCTCAGAACATGTCAGTATGTTCACGTTCTAGTACAAAACATTCATTCAAGCAATTCTAGTAGTATGCTGTGGGCCATCAGAATGGCTATCAGATGTATCCTCAAAGAATTTGGAAGTACAGCAAACAACACTGCAAAAGGACAGTTTCTTAGAGAATACATACGGGAAAGACTGCGTTCAGACAACACAGCAGACCAACAATGCTAAAACAAAACAAAAAACACTACAGCTGCTTGTGTTATCTGAACCTAGACTACTTTAGAACTGACTGCATTATCCATGGTTGAACATTAATACCCATGAAATGTCAAAAAGTAGTGTGTTCAATATAGACTGGAAGTATTAAAGGAAAAGTTTTTCCTTCATTTTTTTCACTTAGTGGTGCAGCATTAGAGCACTCTCTTATTTATACAACATTTTATGTGCCCATTTTAATGCTAATTGTAGGAATGATGCTATAAAATGTGTGGGTGATACAATGGTGCCTGAATTGGTTCAGCAGAAGGTCACAAGAATGGTAGCCAGGTTGGGAGGCATGACATGAGGAGAGATTGAGGGAACTGGGTCCTTTCACCCTGGAGAAGAGGAGACTCTGAGTGACTTACAGGTATGTGGAAGAGGACCATGAGCTGTTCTTCCCTGCAGTGGAGGGTGGGACATGTTCCAGTCAGGCAAAGCTCAAGGACCAGGCTTCAGGTGAGATGTCAGGAAGCTCCTCCTGATGGTTAGGACCCCTAGGATATGGAATGGGCTTCCAAGGGAGGTGGTTGAGGCCCATCAGTGGGGGTGTTCACGGAAAGATTGGGCAACCACATGTTGGGGATTGCATGAGCAGAGTCGGCTGGAGCCGGTCAGACTATATGGCCCAGGAGGTCCCTTCTGACTCGCTCTGTTTCTATGTTTCTGTGTAATGAATATCCTTTGCTGTGAGGGCTTCCCCTGCCAAATAAAGTTCACATCAAAACTGCACTTCTTAAATGAAATGGTAGTACTAAGGGCACCCATGGAAATTTGCAGAGCTCTTCAGTCCTTTTCAAAAACAAGTTGAGTTTCTCTGAAAAGACAAAAGCAGCCCTGGAAAAAGGTGGGTACCAAGGTGGTAAGGACTCCCATGAAGTCCTTATACATTCATATATGAGTAAATGAAGCATGATGATTCAATGCTAGTGTGGAAGTAGCTTAAAGTAGAAGAGAAATGGCACCATTACTTCCTCTATAATGCCATGTTTATTTGCCTTCCAGAGGAATGTAGACAAAACAAGCTCTGGCCCTACTTCCTTGAGGTACGCTCTGGAGTCATGGAAAGAAGCTTCAAAGCTTTGGAGCCTTTGCTGGGTGGGGTACTGTCACATCTGGACTTTGGCAGTGTCCAGATGTGATTAGAACATTTGGCATGGGAGGTGTTTGCCACTGGGCCGTCCTGCAAGTACAAGGATCATAATCACCAGGACCTTAAATTGGACCCGGATACTTTGGTTGGTTCAGAATAGAGCAACCGGGTTGCTAACAGGGTCCGGCTTAGGTACGCACATAACGCTGGTCCTGTACCATCTGTACTGATTTCCGATTGATGTCCGGGCCCAGTTTAAGGTGCTGGTGATGACTGATAAAGCCCTAAATGGCTCGGGACCTGGATATTTGATGGAGCGCCTCCTATACATACTTGCCCACGCACTATGATCTGGATCGGAAGACCTTCTTTGGGAGCCCTCTTTGAAGGAGATCAGAAGAGTGGCTACACAGAGAAGGGTAGCACCCCAGTTATGGAACAGGCTCCCCAGCAAGGTGTGCCTGGCGCCGATGCTTTCTTCATTTCAGCGCCAAGCCAAAACCTGTTTATCATCCCTTTATTTTTAATGCTAATATTGTTCTAAGATTGGGTTTTATTTATTGTAATATCTTGATGCTGTGCCTTATTTATTTTATTGTATTACTGCCCTGAGACACAGTGAAGGATGGGATATAAATGAATAAACTCTGACCTTATAGTGCTATGTTGTAGTGGTTGTCATGTGCCATCAGGTCATCTCCAACTCCAAGATGTTTTATCCATGACAGCCCTGTTCAGCATTTGTCAATTCCAGGTTGTGATTTCCTGGATGGACTTCATCCATCTCATGTTTGGTCTTCTGCCTTTGACTTTTCCAAGCATGATTGTCTTCACCAGTGAGCTTTGCCTTCTCATGATGTGTCCATAGGATGACACCCTGAGCATTGTCATTTTTGCTTCTAGGGAAAGCTCTGACTTGGTTTGATTTAGGATCCACTTCACCCCTGGGTATTCTCAGAGCAATCCTGCAGCACCATGTTTGAGTGCCTCAATTTTCTCCTTGTCAGTTTAATTCACTGTCCAGCCTTCACGCTCTGTCATAGTGATCAGGAATACAATAGTGTATTCTGGAGACCAATCTTGGCCTTGGTCTCCATTCCTTACACTAGATGAACTTTTCCCGTTTCTGTCTTGCTGCCCTTCCCAGTCTGTCTTCTTCTAATTTCTTCGCCACAGTCTCCCTTTGGACTGATGACTGAGCCAAGGTATCGAAAATCTTTCACAATTTCAATTTCTTCCTTGTTAACAGTAAAGTCCTGTAACTGTTCTGTACTCATGATTTTTGCTTTCTTGATGTTCAGCAGCAATACTGCTTTTGCATTATTCTAAAGCTATGCTGGAACATTTAGAATTAATCGTGTGGTCCAGCAGTGGCAATCCATTGCAGGAATAAGTTTCTCTCCAGTCCCGGTGCTATGAGATCTGAGCACACGTGTGCCATGCACTTGCAAGGAGTGGGAAACAGTTATCTGTGGTGTCCACCCGTGCGGATGGAATGCAGAAGGAAGTCAGTCAACACCACACAAGAACAACCCCAGCTATGGCTCCAGGACTGCAAGGGTGACCTTGGACCATTTCTGTACTTCTTTATGAGGAGAAGAGAAAAGCCCCACCAGTGTATGCAAGGTTCTGGTGATGCCTCCACCACCTCTCCTTATGCTCAAGCTGCTGCACTGAAACAGCTGATATTTATTTATTTATTTATTTATTTATTTAGAAAATTTCTATGCCGCCCCATTCGCTGAAGCCTCGGGGCGGCTCACAAAATATATCAATTAAAATATTACACAATAAAAATATAAAAACAAGTTAACAATATAAAATAAGTCGCCTTGGCCGAAGAATAAAATAAATAAATAGTATTAACAGTTAAAATGACTTTTGAATAAAAAGGTCTTCGCCTGGCCCCGAAAAACAAATGACGACAGCGCCAGGTGGACCTCTCTGGGGAGCGCATTCCATAGATATCAGCCTTTGTGTGGCAGGAGGTCTGCAGAAGCAACCTCAACCTTCACATTCCACTCACCACACATAGGATATCCGTCAACTTCTGAGTTTGGAGGGGTCAGAGTCGCCTCGTTGGCTTTCTTGCCCTACCTCTTTCCCCACTTTCACAAACATGATACAATCCAGTAGTGCATCTCACTTAACAAACAGTCCACACTTAAATGTTGATGTGTCTGTTG